TTGGCCCACGCCCAAAAGGGGTCAAAATATCCCTGCCAGTGGCTGTGCAATGACGTCGGCCAGTGCCTTCAGCATCCTCGAGTCCGAGGGTACTCGAGTACCCTCGAGTCTCGAGATCATCGAGTCCAACCCCCTGCCTGGGCAGGAAAGAGCACTGAGGTCAGATGACCCCAGCCAGATGGCTACCCAGCCTTCTCTTAAAGACTCCCAGGGTAGGGGAGAACACCACCTCCCTTGGGAGCCCATTCCAAATTTTGGTCACCCTTACCATGAAGAAGTTTTTCCTGGTATCCAGCCTAAAACTGCTCTCTGTCAGTTTGTGACCATTGCTCCTTGTTACCCCAAGAGGTGCCCTGGCGAACAGAGCATCTCCAATCTCTTGCTGCGTCCCCCTAATGAATTTGTAGGCGGCCACAAGATCTCTGTCTTCTCTTGTGGAGGCTGAAGATGTCCAGGTCCCTACGACTCCGAGATCCCTTTCCATGTCTGTGCTGCGGAGAGGGTCACTTCCCAGCTAGGTGTGCTGGATATTTTTGTGCCCTAGGTGCAGCACTCTGCACTTGTCCTTGTTGCACTGCATCCTATTGTGTACTGCCCACTTTTCTAACCTGTCCAGGCCTGCCTGAAATCATTCCTTACCCTCCGGAATGCGCACTTCACCCCCACAATTTAGCATCGTCTGCAAACTTGGACAGAGTACACTTCGCACCCGCATCCATGTCACTGATGACAGATTCTTGTGGCTCAGTATTCAACTCAACACAAATTGAGGCAGGGCCAGGAAGAAGAATTAGTGGTCATTTTTATCAAATCTCAAATGTCAGCGGTGTCCCACTCCAGAAATGGATTCTTTTGGCTATGTTCAGACTTTATCTGCCCTGTATTTGGTGTTTCCTAGTCCGTTCTCACGTGCAAGTTTGATGTCCATGTGGATGGTCTCCTTTTCAGGGTTGGCATCATCTTGAGGCACTTATGTTTTACTTGAGACTATCCACGGGGCATTTCAAGCACATTATCAGCATTAGTTGACGTGATCTAATGCATTTCCTAATAGTCTCAGTATTTGACCATCTGAGGGATTTGAATGAAGTAGTAGGCTGATCAGCAGGGATCCTGGTTTTCTCTGATTTAAAAAAATCCCCAGTTTTCAGTTAACCCCCCCCAAATCCACATTTTTCCATGATCAAAATGAAACATGCATATAGATATACATCTGTATATTCATGGTGTTTCATTTTAATCATGGGAAAAATGTGGATTTGGGGTGACTTTTTAAACTGAAAATTGGGGATTTTTTAAAATCAGAGAGAAATGTGGATTTGGGGTGACTTTTTAAACTGAAAATTGGGGATTTTTTAAAATCAGAGAGAAATGTGGATTTGGGGTGACTTTTTAAACTGAAAATTGGGGATTTTTTAAAATCAGAGAGAAATGTGGATTTGGGGTGACTTTTTAAACTGAAAATTGGGGATTTTTTAAAATCAGAGAGAAATGTGGATTTGGGGTGACTTTTTTTTTTAAACCAAAACTTGGGATTTTTTTTAAATCAGAGAAAACCAGGATCCCTGCTGATCAGGCACTTGACTTGGGCATTTAAACCTTGTGTTGGTGCAACAGCTAGAGTTTTACCTTCTAGGAACAACGTTTGCTTGAAGCTAGGCCTGCTGTTTTTACTTTTTAAAGGTAGTTTTGTTTGGTTACATATGTTGCCTCTATTAGGTTGTACTTGTAAATTGGGTAAATGTCCTTATTTTTACTGCCAAAAATCAGCTTTGTAGTATTTAATCCTGACTTGGGCTGTGAATGTACACAAAGAATAAAACTGGCAGGCACATTTCTAATGTATCTAAATATTAATTTAAAAGAAAAGCTTACGCCAGTGATTCTCAACCAGGGTGCAGTGAAACCCTTTTAAGGGTGTCATGCAGTATTAGCACTGTTAGGAGTAGAAACACTTGCATATAATTCACCAGATAAAACCAAAGATTTCAAATGAGAATCCAGAGAATCAAAAATGTTTTGACTAGTTGTGGTCCCGAGATCTCTGCAAGAGAAGAATTGCTCTTTTATTTTTTCCGTAGTCAAAAAATGAGCGAAAGCTAAGAGGTGGTGTTTTCTGAAGAGTGCTTTGAATCTAAAAAACCGTGGGAACCATTATCGTAGATGATAGAACGTCACTAATTGCTAAATATTTTAAACAGATGTGTTTTCTCTTTAGGCTGAGGCTGATCTTGCAAGAAATTTTCCAGGAAAGCGGGTATCTAGCTCAAATAACACTCCTGTTTCTCGACTTCCTGCTAACCCTTCAAGAGTGGATCGTTTAATTGTGGACCAGTTCCGGGAACAGGCCAGAGTAAGCTCGGAGTATTATTTGGATGTCGGTAGTATCAGATGATAAATGTGTGCATTGGTTTGTTTTCCCCCTGGACATTTAAGCACTTAATGTTGGTATCTTCCAACCATCCATTAGGTACTCGCCTTAATAGGAAAAATGGAAAGGCTTCAAGGTAGTCCGGTCCATGGTAACATATCTGCTACTCTGGAGCATCATTTAGAAGCCATCCACATTACACAAGCAAGGCGTAAGGATGAGATCGTTAATGCTGCTAGTCTGCAGAGACAAGGAGCGCCTCGTTATAATAGTGAGAAAGGTAAATGCTTTGTATTATTTGGTGGTTCTCAAAGCTTTTAAAAGATCAGCTATGCAAATGTGGTAGCACAATCCCTGTTAACAGGTTTTAAATATTGCAACTTCGAAAAAAGACTTGCAGCCTTTGACACTGCCTTCCTGTGCCATGTACCTTTTTAAAAAGGAAAAATAAACTTCTTCCTTTGCATCGGGTAATTTCTGAGAGCTTACTCAGTTTTTACTGTCACTGTTTTGTTTTTTTGTTTCAGCTAGAAAATACCTTTTTTGGGGGAGAGAGAGAGGTCTAAACGGTAAAAGAAAACAATCTCGGCAATCTTCTTCATATTAAATAATCTTGAGTTTTTTATCTTTGTACTATTAAAGTACTAAGTGATAATGAGGTTCATTCCTGCAAAAAAAAAAAAGTAGACTATGATTGAAAAGGGATACTTAATATGACGAATCTACTAAATCGTGTCCCTAATTTCAGGCTATGCTCATTTGAGCAAATGCGTAGTTTTTTCATTAATGGTGATTTACAGCAGTCTTTTGTTCTTGGCTTACGCAGTGAAAATTGTGCAGCAGTAGATTGCTCTTGAATGGATGTTTTATCTGTCACAAAACCACCACAAATTTGGCATGATTTGTAACTTCTGTTGAGGAATAGCAAGAATTGTTATGCGACAGAAGTCAAGTGCCTTGGCAGCGCTACATGGAGGAACTTGCAACGTGCTTCATTTCTGCCTTTGTCATGCTTGGCTCTCGCTCAGTGCTTTGTCTACTGTTCTGTGATTTGCATCAGATTTGCTCTCCTCCTAGCACTCCTGCCTTCTCAACAAGCTACGAAAACGTTGGCTGCGAGCATTTAGCATTGCTCTACCTCGTTTAGGTTGCTTACTAAAGAGCTTCCTAATTGCCAGGAAGCTAACCAGTTGTTGTTGTTGATATATAAATAAACTCCTCTTTGATAGCTTCCTTATTTTTGTGCAAGGAGATTGCAATCTTATCTTGCACATTCATTTCTTTGTAAAATGAACATGAAGATCAAAAGACCGCTCCAAGGACAGTTTATAGTCAGAAATGTGCCGAAGGGCAGCTTTGTCTTTAGTATTGCTTTTGCATCTGCTGCCTTTACCTGAATCCAAGATGACTCTCAATTTAAGACAGCCTCCCAAGAATTGGATTTTGTACATGGAGCATTTATAAATTAATAATTTTCCATGTACAATATCTAATTATTGGAGGGTCGTTGTAAATTAATCTTCCCACTGGTGGAGCAGGGAAAGCAGTGGCAGGGGGGAGGCAGTAGGAGGGCAGGTGGTGAAGAGGCAATGGGGGAGAGGCAGGTGGTGGGGCATATGGAGGGGGAGGCAGTAGAGGGCCAGGTGGTGGTGAGGCATTGTGGGACACAGGAGGTGGGGGAGTCAAGTGTCCTGTCCCCACTACCACTTGCCCCACCCTCCGCCCCCTCTGCCTGCCCATGTGCCCTAGTGTCTTCCCCCCAGATGCCCCCCCGGCTCCTCTGCTGCCCGCCCTTGCACCACCACTTACCCTGTGGCCCCAATGCCAGCAGGGCTCTGGCACCAGTCTGGCCCAGTGCACGGAGCTCATGGCTGATCCCTCCTAGCCACACAGCAGCTGTTGCAGCAGCTCCAGCCCAAACTGCTGCCATTGCTGCTGGTAGTGGGCTGGGCTGGGCTGGGCTGGGTCCGGGGCAAGCATGTGCTCCATGCCCTGGGGCAATATGGGACCAGAGCCGTGCTGGAGCTGGACCCAGGCAGTAGGGTGTTGGGTTGAGGAGGCTTCAGGAGGGAGGGCAGAGGCAGCAGGGGGTGGGCAGCGGTTGCGGCTCCAAATCCGGCCCCCAGGTCAGGGCTGGAGTCTGAGCCGCAGCAGCCACCTGCCCCCCACCACCTTGTACACAAGTCCAGGACCAGGGGCTTTCCCCACATTTTAAATGGGGGATATCATCTTGGAATTAAATAAATATGGTATTACTTTCACATTCATTTAGCTAGACTTAAACATTTACGCACTTAAATTTTTAAGACGGCAGCTTGTAGAACGAAGCTCAGTACTATGATCTAATTTGGCATCGAGTAGAACTGCTTATTTTTCTAATCCAAGTCAATGACTGGACATCCTAAGCAGGGCTGAAGGTGCTTTCTACCGCTTTAGGATTCACTGTTTAATACTGGATCCTAAGACTGGATGGATCTGTTTAATACTGGGCATAGACAGATCGTTTGTTGGGAAGTCAGCCTTAGTAGAAAGGACCCATTTAGAGTTTTAATCAGCATTTCCACGGAGATGTTGTTATATAATAAAACAGAGTGTTTCCCTGGCATGTGATAAAATGGTTTTCAGAAAGTTCAGTTAAGGTCAGGGTATTCCAGTCTCTGATTTTTTGGAACAGTAGATTTTTTTTTTTTTTAACAATATTTATACTTATATTATCATTTATTGTAAATTTGAGACCATCAGTACCCCCCTCCCTAATGGGTAAAATGACAACTACCACGCAGCGTCATAATTGTCCTACTGGTTCTGCTAGGAACTTAGCGTATAGGGCAGGGAAACTCAGCCACCAGCACAGAAAACTTCACTGCTTGCTAGCCAGATTGTTGGTGGCTCTGAGGAAGGGTTGCAAGCAGAGGATCATTTTGCCCCAGCTTGTATATACCCTTCATTATCCTTGGATGGTGCTGTAGTCCCTGTGCCCTCTATCTTGACACTAGATGACTACAGGAGTTCCTGAAGTTGATTCATGTAATGGCTGACACACTGGGGATCCTGGAGCTTGTGTGACATTGTTCTTCCCCCTTGACATCTTGTAATAATACCCCATTAGCGAAGGACTTTTTGAGTTAGTTAAATTACCCTGCAAGATGCCTGCTTTTCTGGAGCTTGTCATGTTCAAGTCTCTTACCAGAGCTTCAAGCTGTTGCTATATTCAATAGACACTGCTGTGACTAGGAGTTACTGCAGTGGATGGAAGACAGCCACCAGAAAGCAGCATCCAAATACCAATGGCATGTCTGTACTCCTTCCACAAAGCAGTTGAGAAGGCTACCAAGAAACACAGCTTTGCCTCCTCTGCATGCAGCAAACTGAGAAATGAGACTGACTGTTCTGCAGGTTACTGTGAGCACCTCCTATTGCAGCTCTTGAGATCTGTCCTTAGCATGTCTGTGTGGAAGGTGTGTGCGCACCTCTTTTCTGCGTTTGGCACGTGTGGAGTGGGAGTAGAGGGGCAGGGCATACTCTTTTTTCCAGCAATCCCAGAAGTGCCGCCAAAGTGGTAAAGACGTACCCTGAAAGTAAAGGAACCCCTCAAAAGATTCGACATCAAGTCTCCTCCAAATGAGAATTTTCAATAACTGAGCTGTGCTGGTTACGTACGAAGATCTTAATGAGGCTTTTGTGGCTACATCCGATGGCAGCGTTTTTTAAAATGAAGAGGAATTAAAGCGGTTTGTTGCAGAAGGTGAGGTAGGGGCATGTACAACCACCCAAGCTGCCCTCAAATGCTGCAGTTTCTGCATTTGTTACTATGAGGAGATCTTTATATTTCTAGCCACTGGGGATCCCTAACAGAGTACAAACATCAGATTTTCTGTTCTGTGGGATGTGAGCTTTTCATTGCCAACACAGAGGAAGCATTACGCTCTCTTGTCATGCTAGGTTGCTTAGGGATTTAAGCATCTGCGCTGATTTGAGAGTGCTTGAGGCCTCATTGGCAACAATCTTCTTGTACCCAACATGGAGAACTATCAGCAACACCCCCAAAAAGCTCCAAAGTCAACTGCTTTCATTTTCAACTTCATTGGGCCAGCCATGTCATCCGGATGTCCAACTCCAGACTCCCAGCTCAGCCAAGGCGTATGCTCAAGAGGAGGGCAGAGGAAGCGCTTTAGGGATGTCCTCAAGGCCAACTTAAAAAAATACAACATCAGTATTAACTCCTGGAAGACTATCTCTCGGGACTGCCCCAAACAGAGGAAGAGTCTACTGCAGGGATCTCAGTACTTTGAAACCTCGCGACAACAACAGGAGGTGGGAAAGGTAGGCTTCATCAGCCATCTTCAGTCACAAAGCTAAGACAATCATGGAAGACGATCATCCTTGACTGCGAGGGATTGCTGAAGAAACTGATGATAATGGCTTATTGGCCATTGTCTTCACAGAGACAACAGATTCTGACTTCTTAGGAGCATTATACAGATTCTTTGGAATCTTCTAGATATGTCGTCTGTATTCAGAAATTATTTCAAGTCTGTGGCTCTTAAATGCTATATCTTTATGTACAACCATTTCTTGGAAATGCTAGAGGTGAGTTAGTCCACCCAGTGACTCCCACCTACTTCGTACTTTGGTTTACATCACAAGTTTGCCCTTCACTATCGCTCGGCTTGTTCCCTGACCTATCTGGACTGTTCAGTCTCTGCTACTTCTACCATCTTGGCCTCAATTGACCGAACACAGCTTATAGCTAGATTGCTTAGAAAACGGAATATTTCATACTAGGCAATAGTTAACCAGGTCTAACTCTGTGAATAGCACTTGGGCATGTTTTAGCAGTTTCTGTGGAATTAGAAAAGGGTGACTTGGCCTCGGTTCAAAAAATGTCACCTATGTATAAGAGGCTATGCCTATATCCCGTTGGATGGTGCAAGGGAGTATTCCTGTGAGAGTATGCCCTGTCCACTTCCTTCCACTCTGTGCTCCTCCATGCTAAAAGCATGTTGTATGGTTCCTTTTTTGGCATATGCCCAAAGCGTGCCTACCACTGTTTTAAAGGCGACTACACAACATTTCATCATCCTGCATTGCATTCAAAGTGGAAACAGTTGGACGGCACATTGTCTTCATGGTAGTCCTCCCTAACACAGCCTGAGCAGTAAAGACACCACTAGCTTACCGCAGGTATTGTCCAGCTGCTAGCCTAAGTGGGGAGAGTAGAGAAAGAGGAAACCTAGTCTCATATGGATATTTAGGCTGTTTCCAGTGGAGACTACTGGTGACTGGAGTCAACTTGGATGATCTTGCTGTCACTGCTGGATGAAAAGATTCATATTTGAAACATTTGAATTTTTATTGCTTTACACTAATTGAATACTAATCAAGTTCAATAGAGCATTCAAAGGCTGGTGAGGCTTGTCTTACTTAGCAGCGGCATCACCATCGCTTGGTTAAAGGAATCAGCACAGATGTCACAAGTAAGTTATCGGTGTCATCTTGAAGATTGCTATAAAGAATTTGCTACTTCTGCTTTGTACTTTGGAACTAGCTGTATTGATTCTGGAATTAGAGTTGAGCTGGCAGCTCGTGCATCGGGGAAGCTCTAGTATCTGATTGCAGGTACATCCGTATGACCTCCCGCTGTACCCAGGAGAGCTCGCAAGAATCCAGCCCCATGCACTTGCTCTTACTTGTGCTTGCCCAACCTCAAGTAGGTGACTTGGGGTCTTTTCTGGACCATGCCTTCAGGACCCCATCTCAGCCATCTACTCTGCCTAACTGGTGGGCTTGGGTGCAGGCAGAGTAGGAGCAAGTTGCCTAGCCTTGATTCTTGGCATCTGTCCCAGGCTTGCCAGGGAGCCAGTATAGATATGTCCTGGTCTAAAAGAAGCATTAGAAATATTGCTCTGCAGTAACAAATACAATCTTTCTTGAGCAAAATGACGTTCTAGTAGGAGGCAGGCCATGGGTAGCACACTACGGACTGGTGCCATTCTGCCCCGCATTTTGCCCGACTTAAGACCTGACACAGCTTACTATCTCTCTCTATAGCCTAGTACTAATTGTTGGTTCAATTCAAAAGACTGTCTGGACAGTGGGTACTGTCACGTTTATGTAAAAGTCCTGTTGTAACCTGGCTTTGTATTTTTTGCCTTTGTAGATGTCCTTGCTCTGGCAGTCGCCATCAAAGAATTAGCTGTCTCCACACGCAAGGCTCGTACCGCTTTATGGTGCGCGTTGCAGATGACTCTACCGCAAACTTCCTTGAGCAGTCCCGTAAAACAGGAGGAAGTTGAAAGGGCGCTAGAAGAGCTTTGCCCTAGGAGTGCAAGCACGCAAGAAAAAAGTGCAGGACACGAAGACAAGGGAAGCAAAGAAGAAAAACCTGAAGAACCAATGCAGATTTTTGAATAATAGCAAAAAAATTACAAAAAAAAACAAAAGGGGGGAGAAGGAATAAGTGCATTGTAATGTACTAGACATATTTTTTTGCTAGGTTATACAAAACGAGAATAACATAACCGATCAGTACTGCAGTTTTATTACTGTGATTCTGGTGTCGCGACACACTACTTGTAATAGTGTTACTGAAGTTTTAATATTGCTGGTATACTGCAGTGTCTACTTCATAAAATAAGGATTTTATTAATAAGGGGAACTGGGCAGGAGCTGAGCATTTCCTTGACCACTTGCCCCAAGCTCTGTGTCGGTTATGACTCAAGTCATCAACTGAGTAACCAGTGAGTGGCTAGGCTAATTTTTTCATTTGTTATACAATGTATCCTATTTTAGAAATGCCATTTAAGAGTTATTTTATAGTTGTTGGCCTTTTTTTTTTTTTTTTTTTTTTTTTTGCATCGTTATGTAGTTCTTTTAAGTGCCAAAATGATTGCTAAATAATCTAATTTTCTATCCTGTCACTCCACACTGAATGGTCCACACTTTTATGCATTATTATTGTGACAGGGTGTCTAACCTTTCAGGTAATTGCCAAAAGCGTGATGAGAATAATCGGTGTTTAATGATGCTTCAGCAAGTTGTGCTGCCAATCTAAACCAAATTTTCCCACGAAGTTGTCCTTGTTACAGAATTTTAGATTTAAAAAATGATGGAGACTTTAGAGTTGTATTAAATGTTACATTAAGAGAGATGTTGGCAGGTGATATAAATGTATCACTCAGGATTAGAAAAGTTAGATTTACTGATGCCTCGATGGGTTAAAAAGAGTAACAATATAATTTAGTATGCACTTAATTGAAATGATGTGGTTATTAACATACGTTTATGGTACTATAATTTTCTGAAACATTCCGTATTTATTTTAATGTTTTAATTGTATGTTTATTTAAAAATCTATTTTAGTAATATACAGTTGGGTCTTTTGCCAAACCGTCCTAATAATCATAATTAACAATTTACTCAGGAAATATGTATATTATATATAAATATACACATGGTATTTAGGGATTTTTGGGGGGAAGAGATGTTTGCAAAATATTTACATAAAGCTAACTATATACTAGGTTACCAAAGCTGTTTAACTGATTTGTTTTAGCATGAGAAGATTTCATATATTTAATTGCTATTACTAGTCGTCATCCTGTGGCTTAGACAATCAGAAGTGTTATGTATCAATGTGAATGTACAGGGTGAGAATTAGAAAAGGAAGAGTAATTCACGTTTTGTTCTTATTGCACTAATTATAAGTATTTTAATGCTTTAACAATCGTGTCTTAATGTTAGATTGTCTCTTAAAATGTACTAATAACCAAGTAATGGTCTTAGGTGTTAGTATGTTGATGGACAGCTTTTGAAGAGCAGCTCGTGTTTTAAAAATAATTATGCTGAGGATAGCAGGAAAGGCTGAGAGACTCCAGAAGAGAATTGATCTGTGGTCCATAATGTTATGATGTTGAATTTTGACTTTACGCGTAAATGCAGAATCCTGTTTCCACATATATGTACCTGCTAAATATTTCAGACAGTCCGTAGTTTTGGACCTGTGAATGTTTTTTTTTTGGTTTTGTTTTTCCCAGAACAGATGTAGTTTCATAGTACCGTTATTAACAGGGATGAGGCAATGAATGTGCAGTTATGTAGAAGCAGCCCCGTTTTGACCTGCTGAGTAAAAACGAAAAGAAAAAAAAAAAAAGAAATCTGATTGCAACTATGCTCCGTGTTTTGTAAGGAAAACCCAATTCAGCTCACCTGGATATTTTTTCAGTCTTAGTCTAAACCTAAAAGTCCGTTCTAAAGAGAGTTAGTTCACTGCAGTGCGAGTGGGTTTTCTGCATGTGTGCGTGTGCAGTTTTATTTGCACAAATGAATTTCAGAAGGTCAAATAGGCTTTTGTGAGAAGTTAGCTGTAGTCTGTAGTCTAAAAAAACGCCCGAGTTACAGTATTTGAGTTACTGATGGGATTTACGTGTTTGATTTTGATGATTATTAACAGGAAATCAGAGTTTGAGCGTCTTGATTTGCATTTCTGTTTACAGAATGATTCTAGTTCTGCAGGATTGTTTTGTAGTAGTGAATGTATTGGACATACCAAGTCCTTGTATTTTTTTGTGTGTTGTTTATTATCGTGAAGGAATGTGGTCTTAATTGGTTCCTAATATAGTTAATGTGCCTTTTAACAGTCTTATTTTTCAAAAACGGTAAGTAACTGTGTATGCTCACTTCGGCTTTCTATTGCAATTTAATAATACATTTAAAGGGGTTACAATGTAGCTGCACTTGACTATAGCTAAGAAGTAGCATATATCAATATTGTTCTTGCATAGTGTTCGATTTGTCCAGTTATTGGGATCTTTTAACAACTGTAAAGCACCCTAGCTGTTGAGATTTTGCCACGAGTCAAACGTATTAATAACCGATCTCGGTTGCAACCAGTGTGCTTGCTTAATTTGTTTTGACTTGATCTGCTTGTTTCTTCATAAAAACGAAGTATGCGATGGACATGTTAGCATGGAAATATTTTTCTGTGCGTTTCTTGCAATACTCTAACAAATAGCAGCAATAGAAATGCGGACAGCAAAACGGAACTGCTCGAATGTCTTAATTCTGTGTGTGACGTATCCCATACGCTCGTGTTTCAGGGGAAAACGAGTCTTTTGTAAATGGACCAGTTTGCATTCAGGGTTGCAGTCCCCTGAACACCCTTAGTATTTCTAGGTGATTTTAGTGCTCCATTTGACAGTGAAATACAATTAACATAAGTAGCGGGTCAGGTCTCCGCGAGAATAAGTATTGCGGCCTTGTTTGCTTCGCGGCTAATCCTATTCTTTGACTTCAGTGGAAGCAGGATTGAGTTAGTAAGACCGCAGTCTTGATTAAACTAGCCATTGATTTGCGTGATGTTTGGTTTCGTTTGTAAAAGAAACAAGCGCATGGTGAATTTTCCATTTTTGCAACGTTTCCACCCATCTTGGAAAGAGTTTTTTGTTTTTTTTTTTTATTTGATTGGCTTGCGCAATTAGAATTGGTGGATGAGATGGGAGGAAAGATTTGCTGCCAGCACTAATTGAGAGCAACCAAATATTACGAAGCCTCTCAATTGTAAGAGTGCAGGATGTTTAGAAAATGATTTTTCAAATCAGGGTCGTTGCAATACAGGTGTATGTATTTTGATAAAATAAAGATGACCGTTGTGATTTGGAGATCCCAAATCATTAATACAATATAAAGCATAGGCTTGAAGATTGCAAGCCAAATGCAGTTTGTTGGGGACGTAACAGAAGTGAAACTAGTGGTGGTTCTGTCTTAGCAGCCCCGCGGGGAGCATCCGCTCTGCCCACTGCAACACGAGCACGCTTGTGCCCGTGGCTGTACCTCTACCTCTCCTCGGCACCCCTAAACTTCTTGTGACGATTGAGGTATTTTGACAGAACTACTATAAAGATCTTACTAATAGGATCAATGTTATTTGTCACTAATTACTGTGTTGCTAAGGAAGAAGTGCTGCCCTGCGGAGCTGTGCCCTAACAGGGGAAGACTTCCAGGATTCAGATGGGTTGCACAAGTCTCGTGCTCCCCACGCGTTGATCCTGCTGCTCTTCCTCTCCGTGCGCCGCAGTACAGCTGTTAGAAATCACGTCTTCTGCGTGATTGTGGATGGGTCGAATGTCCCAAATGGTTGATTTACATTTAGCACAAAGCTAACTTTTTTTACCTGATGCCTCTTTAATCTTGGTTCTCCTCTGCCCGAAATCCTAGCATTCGCCTCGACTCGGGACGTAGGGTTATGAGAGGCCACAGCTACTGCTTGTCACTGGAGTGAGGCTATGAACTTGGATGTGTGGGTTGTATTACTACTGAAAGGAAGAATAAAACCACTCCAACCAGTATAATTAAAAAAACCCCAAAACGTAAGATTGCATTTGTCATTTTCTGCCCTGCTCTGAAAGCTGGATTTTGTTCTCTCACTGTTCTGGGGAAGTTGCGATGTCTTAAGAGAACAACCTAAAAAATAAGAGAACTGCTTTCAGCCGGCCTGAAGAGCCTGTTTTTTTTTTTTTGTTCATGATAATTGCATTAATTTTTTTTTCTTCATTCTCCCCCTCCATCTTTTTAAGACATCGCTGTTCATTTTTTTTTTAAAGGCTTCAGTTTAGGACTCGCCCACCCCCTACACCAGATTTTGCAAGAACCGACCTCCATACCGAAAGCCAGCAGGGAGCACAACACGGGTATTTTATGTGATCATAGTAGAGAGCTGCATTTCATGCATCTCTTAAAACTGTATGTTGATTCGGCTCCATAGAAAACGGGTACAATCCTGCTTCCAGGGAAGTCATTAGGTTTGCCAGCTTTTTATTTCAGTTGAGCTTTCTGTTTTATGACCTGAGATGTTAATCTGAGATCTCATCGTTTTGTGCATGCAAGCTTTGCAGTTCCCCTTTAACTGTTCGGTATCAAGAAATTCCAGAAAAATATGCATTCCCCGTGTCGTTGTGAGTATCTGTACCACGGTAACACATCGGAATTGGAAACGCATTTTGCTTTTGTGCAAAGCTGGGGAATGCACCTTCTGTACACGCTTTGGCTGAGTCGAGTCTATAGGCGGCCGAGAATTTTGCACCTTGTTTATACTGATTTGCCTGGATAGAAATACAGCCTTAACCATGGTAAGATCTTGACTTGTCTCCAGTGCAGTTTATCCGTCTCAATCACCAGCACTTTTCTGTTTTGTGAAGTTTATATACAATTATGAAAAGAGAAATTGTGCATCTATTAAGTTACTTTATATTATAAATTGTTTTACAGTTTGCTTTTAACAAACACTATTGCTTTTTATTTTATTTTATTTTTTCTGACAGGACAGTCAAATTGGTTTATATATAACACGGTGATGTTTTTCTTTATTAGCAATACTATAATTAAAGGTGCAAGATAAGATGCATTTTAATGTACTTATTTAACTTTTGTTGTTAGAAGTAAAAAAAATAATAATGTGTGGAGTAAACCAGCTTATAGCAGCTTTTTTTTCTTAAATGGGGGAACTGGAACTCTAAATCTTCTTTGCTGCTTATTTGCCAATAAGCTTTAAAAACCAACATATGTGCATAGAATAGAGAATGAGAGAAGGAGTAGACCAGTGTCGACTTAAGAAAATCCGTTGCCAGATAAAGGTTGCTTTACGTTTTTTACTGTATATAATACAACTGGTTTAACACTTGTTTTTGCACAGTAATAATGAGCATAGTTTTTTCACAAGATTAGGCTATTTCCAATATATATGGGGACAAATAAGTTTACTTTTATTTTTTATGACAAATATAAAAAGATTAATAGTGTCTATATTTTAATATACTGTTTGGTGTCCAAAGTATATCTTTTACATGTTG